GCTCATAAGACAATTTAAAAGCAAGTGTCATGAAATTTAAAAAGAAAAGATAAATTAAATTGATTAGGACACCACTAAACTCACACTTACACATAAGGCACCAAAAATAACATTCCTGCAGTAGGGTTTTTTACCTTGAAGTATTTTGTAATGCCATCACTTGCTCTTGTCACACCTTAGGAGTGATATCGCGATGAGTAGAGATATCATGAGAACATACAAAGACAAACTTCAATGCAAGATCTACTGAGATGATAAATTTTTCGTATAGGTACCTAAAGGAAAAAAAATAAAACATATTAGTATATAAGTTTAAATATAAAAGAAGGTCATGAAAAGATTAAGTACCTCATAAAAGTGGATTACATTTTAGCTGATTAAAACATGCTTGAAGACTTTATAGACCATTTTGACCTTGATCAAATCATGTTGTTCTCTACCATGCATACTTTGGTCAAAGTTGATAAGCACAATCCAATATGCATTTTGCTTAGAAAGAATTTAAAAATTATAATTTCAAAACACATATTGGACAATTTTTTGAATAACAATCCAATCTAAAGAGACATATTGGATAGTTTTTCATAAAACCATCCAGTATTCTGCTCCGCCTTTGTGTATTGGATGGTTAGCTAAATAATCATCTAAGAAAGGATGTCTAGTATGGCTAATTTTGTACTAGTATAATTACTTTGATGAGAAATTTTTATTTCTTTCCACTGTGAAATTTGCTAGAAAAGGGTGGAGCCATCCTATAAGTTGATTTTTAAACATGCTTAATGTAGCAAGAGCCTACTTAGATTGTATGAGGGTAGAGCTCTAAATTATAAAATGTACTAGAAATCGTATAATGCATCACATGATAAGTTTATTTGCCGCTTGCATGACTACTTTTGTTTGTGTAGTTTTATTCTTTCCTATTATGGTATGTGCACTAGAAGGGTTTGTTCCTTTGCTATCATAGTATAAATGGAGTATGATTTTCTTGATATATAGTTTGTAAACCTACGTTTTTCCTATTCTATTATGGTAGCCACTACATACTTGAAAACTTTTCTAAAATGACTTTTAAACATTTCTACCATGGTAGACTACTATATGTGTATGTTGTTTTCTTTTCTACCATTGTAAGGGACATTTGTTGGAGTTTGGTAGTAGTGTTATAGGAGAGAGGTCAAAATTCTCATTAAGACAAACCCTAACCAACAATCTTGGCCATTGGATAAACCTCCCTCAAATCCCCAAAATACAAAGATTTAATGAGTATTAATTAAAGTTAAAAAGCTTACCCAACTGGCTTGAAACTAAAACACTCCTCAAGTGTTGAGAATTCAAAATCTCATAAGAGGCAACCAAAAGTCATAATATCATCCCATTTCTTTATCCCCAATGTTAGATGAGGTTGGCACTCAAGAGAGAGAGTAAATTGAGTGTTCTTAAATTTTTCTAAAAACTTTTCTCAACCTAAGAAGAAAGATGAACAAAATAAATATTTAATGCATATGGCTTTTTAAAATAAATTAATTTAAGAGAAGAAGAACCTTAATACAAAGAATTTATCCTAGTTACCCAATCATTTGGCCTACTTCTAGTCCTTAAGATCATACTTGATATTTTTCACTATAATAACAAACTTAGGTAAGTACTTGTCTTCTCAATATAGCCACAAAACTACACCAATTTTGATTTCATATAAACAATTACTTATAACACCTGAAAGCAATTAACACTAAAAAGAATCTCTTCCTAAGATTTTAATCAAATAAGAAAAAGCTTTTTAAAGCAATAACTCTCTAAAATAATGTATATGAATACACTTGAAAGCTTATAAATAAGTTGTGAGTTTTTTTTTTTTTTACAGAAAATAGATACAAGTTGGTAAGAATTGAATGATGTCCTTAATGCTCAATAAATCATTACCCACTCACTTAAATAAGGTATTATTTATAGATTGGGATGAAAAGAGAGATTGGAAACACTCAAAAAGAGGATTATAGCCATTGAAGAAATGTAAAAGTAAAGAAGAAAAAGAAAAAAAAGCACTTTTTGTATGAAGCATTAAATGCACTGTTAAAACCTCATTTAAACATGTATGAGATAGAGACATGTGTGGATTAGCTTAAGGAAAAATGGCTTTATTCACTTCTAGCAATTTCAAGTATGAAGTCTCTCTTAGGAAAGTGTGTATTAGGAGTAAGAAGCACCTAGCTTCTAGTATGAACTCAAAACATGCATGGGTTCTATATGATACACTCATGTATTAGATGTTGGCTATCTGGAATGCAAAATACACACATATGACCACTAAAACAAGCTTGAATTGGCTTGTTCAAGTTCAAGGTTCTCTAAGTCTAGCTTGAAAGTTCTAAGTTATGAAACTCAAACTATTGTGTATTACCAAGGAAACATGCATGGATTAGATTAAGCTCAGGTTCAAGTTGACATACTGGGACTAATTCAAGCGTGTATAGCCATGCACTCAAGGGTGAATTAGATCATAGACACTAATTCTTGGGTAGGCACTAGATCAATGTGCTCTACCTAAGACAAGCAAGTTTTAAGCAACCTTAGAATATTTTCCTTCATTGGACACTGATACATGCATGCATTCTAACTAAGATTAGTGTCAATTGAAGATCAATGAGAAGAAAAGCTTTTGAACACTCAAACAAGTGAGTATTGGTTCCAACACAAGCCGAAATTAGATCCACAAAGTCATATAATACATTATATAAGGCTAAAACACGTGTATGCTTTATCCAAGACAAGTATGTATTATAAGACATAGAATACCAAATACATTCTAAGTGTTTGACAATGAAATTCTAGGACTTGTAAAGCAATGACATATTCTAATATAAGCATTCTTACCATGCGAAGTGAATTTTTCTCTCAAATAGTTTTTTTATTAAATATAAGAGAAGATAAAATAAATAAACCTATTTAATTAGCTACACTTTTTCTTGTTCTTCATGGTTTTGAGGTTATGTCACTTGGATTTTAACCTTTGAACTATTAAAAAAAAACCCTTCTCTTGCAGTGGCGGAGCCACATGTAATTGAAGTGGGGCATATGCCCCCCTCACTTGGGAAAAATGACATGTTTGGGAGTATAAGTTTTTATATTTTGTAATTTGCACCTTTTATTTATTATACTTTGTACCCCTTATTTTTACATTTTAAACTTTAAATCCATTTTAATCTTACTTTTTTAGCTTAGATTTATTCAAATTTTTAACTCAGCCTCATGAATATTAGCCCACAATTTCATTATACTTAAATACCAATATTATTTATTAATTTTTTAAAAAATAAAAAAATTTAATATGACTAAATAGACTCGTTCCTTGTCCTGAATACTACTCAGGGACTAGTTAGAAAAAAAGACAATAATAAATAATGAAGATTCAAAACTCAAGAGTAAATTAAGTGAATGTTTTTCACTAACTTGCTAAACTTACAAATCTATAATTGAAAGGTGGATAGGGAACAAAGAAAAAGAAAGAAGAAAAGAGAAATAGTTGATTTGAAAGAGATAAAAATGTCTTCCTTTTATCGAGGATCTTAGCTAGCCCCATCGTTGTCCCCTGACCCAAGGTCTTGGCTCTGCCACTGCTCTTTTAGTTTTGTAATCATCAAAACACATGATTTAACACCTAAAGCACTTCCAAGCATGATTTAATCTGACTAATATTAGGAAGAAGATTTACGGATAGTGCATAGATACTTGGGCTTTGAGTTTTATGATGTTAGAATCAAACTTCTACTTATTGCTTTTCTGTGTGTTCTTGTAATAATACACATGCCTTGTTGATCAAAAACTTGATCACTCATTTTGAAGCCTTTATTAATCACTTTAATTTGTTTGTTCGTCGGTTGTTGTTTTCTAATTCTTTTGGTGTCATAACCAATTGCATTTTTTAGGTTCCGATATATGACAGATCCCGGTGGATATATCCATATCAAAGAGACTAGACTATATTTGAAATGCTAAATTTGATTTAAAGAAAAAAATGTATGCTATAATAAAGCATATGACAAGCTATCATACATGCATTAGACATTATATTCTATGTTGAAATTGATAATACTGAATTTGTGTACAAGGCTAAAATAATAGTTACATTTCATTTAATGGTTGAATTAATTAAAATTACTATATTTCACTCTAATGAACAATAAAAATCAATTATATATTCCTATAGTATCAAATCATCCCTCTCAAAAACTTGATTGCTCCTTTTGAAGCGCCTTTTTTTTTTATCAATCTTTTGGTGTGATAATCAATTGTATTTTTTAGGTTCCTATGACATATCATTCACTGGATCCATATCAAATAGACTATATTTAAAGTGCTCAATTGAAAAAAAAAAGTGTACTATAATAAAGCTTATTCATGATATAGCATTATATTGATATTGATTATATTGAATTTGTAGACATGGCTAAAATACTAATTACATTTCATTTAAAGGTTGAATTAATTAAAATTACTATATTTTCACATCAAAAAGTAAAAATCAATTATATTCTTATGTAGTGTTAAATCATAATAGAGGTGGGGGAGGGATATAGAGAAGTATGATTTACACTCTATAGATTCTCAAAGTATCTCATGGCCAAAAGTTCTAGAAAAAGAAAGCATAATGAACATTATAGAGTTAAATTTGGAATGTTAAACTAGTGTTGAGATCATCAAGGGAAAAATTGTACTATGCTGCCTTTGATTCGTTAATTAATGAGGTCGATTGCTGACGATGTATGGACGTGGCTTATAATAAGAAAATGGTAATTAATACGTGAATCATATTTCATATGTCGTAAAGTTCCACCACAAATTAAAAAAGAAAAAGAAATCTGTAAAGTCGGAGATGTGTGATATGAGAATATATTATCATGTCTGCGAAAGGAATATTTTTATATTATTATATAATTAAAATACAAGTATAAAAACGAGGGTATGTGCGAGTTGAAAGAGCACATAGACACAAAATTAACAAACATCATATAGCTATCGATCAGTACTCTTGCAAAATCTCAAAAGAAGAGAATTGATCGAAGATCATCGATGTCGATGATGAATTATTGCAAGTGGAAGCCTGTTGCTTTGATGATTCTTGTTAATTTAGCTCTGGCTCTCGCAAATCTGCTTCTGAAGAAAGTTCTCAGTGAAGGAATGAGCTTCTTGACCATCATAACATATCGTCAGTTAGTTTCAGCCTTTTTCTTGTCTCCTATTGCGTTTTTCTATGAGAGGTAAGAATTCTATACTATATGCATTAACCATATTTGATTTTAGTGCATGTATTAATGTTCATGAATTATGAATAATATATATTTTTAAATATTTTCAAAAAGATAGATACTCCATCTGTCCTAATTTATAAGATAATTTAATAAAAATAAAGTTTTATTAAATATAATATGTTAATATTACCCTTCTGTAATTTCCTTACTGGACTCTTTCTACTTTTTTATGTCATTACGTTATCCTAACAAACTTGAGAATACTACAATTACCTGCCTAAATTAATGTGAACTCCTATTGTGTGGGACATTTGATTAAACTCTGATCCCTTGACTACATGTCCTAAAACTCAAACACGAGGCTCCATGATAAATTAATTCAATTTTTTCAATTAGTTGAACCAATTGCCTCTCAATTTATTATATTCTTTTCCTTTAATATTTCTCAAATATTAAATGAAGAATATTTTTAAAAATTTATTTAAAAAATTAAAGTTATAAAATATATTTAATAAATTTTATTGATATATGTAATTTTGTCTAAAATTATCTTAACAGGGATGGGGAAATACAATCTTATTAAATCAGATCTTATTCTTCATTTAATAAATTAATGCTACATATATGAAGTCAACGTGGATTTGGTTGTCAGAAATTACTTGATTTGGTATATTAAAGAAAGAAAATTTAAATAGACATACTTTTATTTTCCTCCGTTCATTCTTTAAGTGCACATACTTTTGATCTCATATATATATATATATATATATATTTATAACTATATGATGAAAGAGGCTAAGTTTATTTTTCTTTCCCACCGCTCATTTGACATTTCGATCCAGCCTCTAGAAGAATATAACATGTATTGTACTTTCATTTAAGTGAACTTCAACGGTCCAAACGGGCTTTTAAAAATTTTAAGGAAATAGATAATATTTCCTTTTCAAGTGATCTGTTTCCAACAACTAATGACTCTCTAAGGAAATCAAATAACATCCGCAAATTTATGGTTGTGTCTGTGCGGGTCTAGTTTTTAATTTTGCAAGTTGGAGTTAGATGTAAGGGAAATTCTTATATGGATAAGGTGCACCATGTGATCCACGATATGTCAAATAAAAACATGATATGTTGTACTAGTTCAACCAAATAATATCTTGCATATCATTATTTTTAATGATTTTATTTTTGAAATAAAGTATCTCTATAATTTCTTGACTTTTCTCTATCTATCATCATCAATAACAAAAGCAATTTATATTTATAATTACCTACATGTTTTTATTTATTGAACAAACTATGAATGACGTAGTATATTAGGTTTATATAAGAATTTTTTATTTGTAAAAGATTCATTGTTAATATAATTTTATATCATGGCTAGCTAGCTACATGTGCCTCTTACCACTATAATTTTTCATGGGTTAAAAGGATAAATTTGTTCTGAAATTTTTTCGTCAAATGCAATTAATAAAATTACCCCTTTAGAAATACTTCTAAGGTAAATTTGCTCTAGCCCTCATCAAATTTTTTTCAACTAATAGTCAACGTTGGTCAAATATTATTATATGGTGAAGTTGCACCATTTTTTAAAGTCCCAAGATAATATTGTGCTAATCAAAAGTTAAGGATATCAATCACATCTAATGAAATACTTTCATGACAAATTTGCCCTTTAATTTTAATTTTTTTCCTTTCTTTTTAGGAAAAATATCAATCAAGGACCACTTGAGGATTTTTACATCAAAGAAGGACCTGAAAATGTTCATTTTTCATTACACCCCCTTTGGTCTTTAGATAAATCTTTATGAAAAATAACTTAATTGCCTCTCTTAATGAAAGAGAAACACAACTAAATAGGAATTGGCTGTTAATGTTCAATTGTATTGTTGTCAATCATGAATTAGTAGTTGTCAAAATTTGAATGACTTATTATTTATGTAGGGTGAACACTTGTCTTGTACTATAAGTTTTTCAATATTGTTAAATTCTAAATATAAGTTATTGTTAATTACAAATTAGTTGTTGTCAAAAATCAAATGGCTTGTTGTTTATACAAAGTAAATAATTATTCCATTAAACATGTGTTGTCAATTTTTCAATCTTGTTAAATTATAAATGTATTGTTATTAATCACGAATTGGCTATTGTCAAAATCCAAATGGCTTATTGTTTATGCAAAGTGAAAACTTAGTCCATTAAACATGTGCTATCAATTTTTTAATCTTATTAAAATTAGAATATGTTGTTGTCAAAAACTCAAATGGCGTTTTGTTTATATAGAGTGAACATTTATTTTATTAAACATATGCTATCAGTTTTTCAATCTTGTTAGATTTTGAATGTGTTGCTATTAATCATAAATTGGTCGTTATTAAAATCTAAATGACTTATTTATGCAAGATGAGTACTCTTTATTTTAAATTTTAGGGTAATTTAGTCACTTTTTCATAAAAAAATATTTTTTGCTAAGGACCAAGGGGGTGTAATGAAAAATTATAATCTTAGGGTCTTTTTTATATAAAATACCTCCAATGATTCTTTGGTGATATTTTCCCTTCTTTTTACTAGTCTACATAGCTTTAAGAAAGGTATTTGTTGCTTACATCCTCACGTAGATAATACTTCAGGAATTTTTTTTAAATAAAAAGGAACTCCTTGATTGTGACCTTAAACTGTGAGGAGATGCAGAGAAAACACTGTTATGAAGCCTTTATGGCATGTTAATTTGGTTTCCAATTTGTAAACGTGATTTTTTAATGGCAACTCATAAATCGCTTTTAAAAATCACGTTGCAAACGTGATTTCGGATGTCACACTTGCAGGAAAAGCAGGCTCGAGGGTGACATTAACATACTATGCCTTCTTTTCCTCAGCGCTCTTGTTGGGTGAGTACTTCATAGGCACATTAATCTGTTACTAGATCAATATCTAAATATGTTCAAATTAAATTGCGTGTTGCTTATTTCATCACTAATATTCGAAATCAATCAATTTCTCTTTCAGTGTAACATTCACTCAGTACTTATTCCTTCTTGGACTTGGATACACGTCGGCAACATTTTCATGTGCATTCCTCAATATGGTTCCTATATTTACTTTCATCATGGCTCTGCCTTTTGGGTAAGTGAAGCCAAAAAAAGAAAAGGTGTTATTTTGGTAAAATGAAACGGGGAAAAAAAAAAAATTTGGTCCCAGGGGATAGATAGGTAATCTAATTTGTTGGTTGCACAGAAATAGTTTTTTAGCTGTTCAATTCCTTGATCATTCATTAGAATATCATTATTAGCACAAAAACTTAATGCCAAACTTACCAATTTTCTAATTTTAATCTTATTTTGATGGCATGATTGAACCAAATACTATCCAAAGTCATTGGAACATTGAACTTCCTTTTAATTTGTCTTAATCATCCATACCCCTCTTCTATTTTAAAAATATATATTTAATCCAAACTATATATTAACACCATTAAAGAATATTCTAAAAATATTCTAAAAGTATAACTTTTTATTTGAAATTCACATTAAAAAAAATCTTATTTATTAATTTACCTCTCATCCTACTAAATCTCTAATTTATCTTTGTTTAACATTCACTAGTTATTAAAAATGTTAAATAATTAAAAATATGTATATACTTAAAAGACTACATTTACGTTTTCAGCAAACACAGACACACACACACACATGATAATTAAATAAATAAGTTTAAATAATTAAATTATTGGAACAATAAAAATATATAATTATAAAAATAATCAACTTTATATTAGGATACAAATTAATAAATTTAAAAATGTAAAAATATATTAAAATTATTTTTGGGCCACAGCAAGTGTTTAAATGATTGTTAATGAAATAGATATAAGGGTCTTCTGGTCAAAATAAAATATCAATGCTATTTTTAATTGTTAAAATAATAGTTAAATAGATAAAAATAGGATCTTAATTAAAAGAAAGGCAGGTGTAATACCTGTTTTGATTTTAGAGTAATTATTGTGCGAACAACATTTTGAACCCTAAACTTTTAAAATGTATAAAAAAAATTTTAAACTTTTAAATTTTAAGGGCCTAAAACCTTGCCATTAAGTTAAAAAATACAGCTATTATTTTTAAGAATTAAAATGAGTGCTATATCAATATGTGACTAGGCCCTACAACTATAAAAATAATGGCTGTTTTATCCAACTTATCTCAAAATTTAAAAGTTGAGGAGAATTTTTACAAATTTTAAAAATTTAATGTTTAGAATATTATTCACGCAATAATTTAGGATTATGATGCTCACTAACCCTTGCTTTTAATAGAGGTCTATACAAGTTTTTAAAATAAAAAAAAATTTTATGTAATTTAGATTAAATAGGGAAGGTTAGTATAGTTTATTTAAATTTTGCAGCACATTATGGAATTTTTTTCCTTAAAAATTTTTATTAAAGGTATACACATGCAGTTCTTTATTTATTAAATAATTCTTATTCGTAACTAAAATTCCCTGCATAAAACATATATAAAAGTGTGCTTTTATTTTTTTTTAAATATGGGATTAGGTTAATTGAAGTTATTTTAGTTAAAAATATTAAAGTTATACTAAAGTGTGGCAATTTTCTTTTATTTTAAGGGGCTCGTTTGTTGTGTAACATTTTATTAATAAAAAGCAATACTTTTGTAAAAGAAAGAAAACATTGGTTTTAGCATTGAATTTCATAACATATAAAAAAATTATCTTTAAACTTTGTCAAAGTGGCTTTTTATATTTAAAACAAATTAAAAACAATGGATTTAGGTCAATTGATGAGGCTTTTTTTTGTCAAAAATTAAATTTAGATTTTCACTGAAATGGAGAAGTATATTTTGTTTTAAGGGTTGTGCAATGTGATAATTTAACAGTCAAAAACAATTTTCTAATTTTAAAGAATTTTAAAAAAATTATGTACAAAATAAAAATACTAAATTTAAAAATCAACGTTTTGCAAAAACAAATTGAAAGTCTATCAATATATCTGCCATGAATGAATATACTTCTTTTAATGAAAAACGTAGCTATTGATAAAAAAACATTACAAATTAATCAAATACTTAAGACAATAAATGTTTATCATCCACCACCTTTGTATAATAAGATGTGTTTTGATCAAAGGTATAAATACCATTTACTTAATTCTCTGTTTGTTCAGCCAAAAAATGAGCATACCATATATAATTTTTTTTTTCCCCCCGATACATACAACCATTACTTGACCATTTGGATTGAATTAATTTGCATGCAGAATAGAGAAGGTGAATTTGAGGAGCATGAGTGGGAATGCCAAGGTGTTGGGCTCACTTATATGCATAGGTGGCGCTTTATTACTGGGCCTTTACAGAGGAGAACCCTTAACCTCAATTAACCCTAATAAATCTCAAACCCCACCAAATTATAATAATAATAATTCTTCTTCAAAGACATTATTGTCCTCATCACCACCACCTTCTTCACCTTCACAATGGGGTGTAGGTTCAGTGCTTCTCACAGGAGGCTGCTTATTGTGGTCCTCATGGTTCCTTATTCAAGCCAGGATTAGCAAGAGATATCCATTTCAGTACTCAAGCACAGCCATTTTGTCTTCTTTTGGGGCCATCCAATCAGCTATCTTGAACCTCATCATCAACAGGAAAAATAATAATCCTGCCGCCATCTGGATTCTCCATGGCAAGTTGCAAATCTTGACTGTCCTTTACTCTGTGAGTATATCTTCAATAAAAACTTTAAATTTATTTTTTATATAATATTTTTTTTAACTTTTAAAAATAATATAATATATGATCTTTATTGTCAACAAATTTAATATTAACCATTAGTTAACCAATAAATAATATAAAATAATCTCAAAACTTATAAAAAATACCAACAATTACAATTAAGGATCTAAAAAATTAAGAATAACACCAAGAAAATTTTATAGATCACCTTTTGTAACTTTTAGGTCCTTTTATATCATTTTTTTGGATAAACTAATAGTAAAAGTTAAGTTTTATTAGTGATAGATGCTAGATTATACTATTTTTAAAAGTTAAAAAGTAATATTAAATGAAATATATACATATATATAAATTTAGAATCCCAAATGATTTGGACGAATAGTTCATAGATGAATTTGCTCTTTTATATCATCTAGTTGTTTACTTACTTTTTTTAAAAAAAATTGCATACAAGTTTCATTTAATATAATTAATTACTTTTATATTTATTAACAACTGAATTTAAAAAAATAATAATATATATTTTTATCATTCTTCTAAAGTTAGTTATTAATGAATTTAAAAATAATTAATTATATTAAGTGAGATATGAAAAAGTAATTCTCCTCTTTTTCTAATATATACCTTTTGGATAAAAGTTGTTTAGTTGCTTTGGATGCAGGGGTTGGTGGGATCAGGCTTGTGCTACGTGGCAATGTCATGGTGTGTGAAAGAAAGAGGGCCGGTTTTTACAGCGGCATTTACACCCCTCATTCAGACATTTGTGGCCATTCTTGAGCTCTCTATCTTACATGAGCAAATCTGGCTTGGAAGGTTCATTTCTTTTACCCAACTCATCTCCTCCATTATTTCATTTATTTTTCCAATTAATTATATTGAGTGAATTACAATGAATTTTCTTTTTTTTTTTTGCTAAATTTATAGTGACTGTTTTTTAATAAAGCAACTTTTAATTTTTCAAATTTGTCTCATTATTGATTTGATTCATAAAATTTAATTCTTATTAATTTAATCTCTTAAATTTATTTTAGTTATTAATGTGGTCCCTATTATTTAAAAAAGAGGATATACTGTTAAAATTTTATTGAAATGAATAACAGAATATTGCTGAAAACCATATAAATTAATTGAAAAAAAGTATATTTATTTAAGTAGGAAAAAACTATGTTTTTTTTTAAAGAGAACTAAACACAGTGAAAGGGATTATATTAAAAAATTAAATTAATTTGAGGGTTAATTTATTCTCATTTAGCTACATGTATATGCCAAATCATCAATATATGTACTTTACATATTAGATTATTTTGAGAGACAATTTATGCTTTAAAACTTAAAGGATTCACATGATAGTTTTAAAAAATATAAGGAATCAAATTGATAAAAATTAAATTTGAGGAACCAAATCAATAACTGAGACAAGCTTAAAGGAATAAAAATTTTTTAATCCTTTTTTCAAAATTTATATATGCGTTCCCTTAAAAAATTAAATTTAATATATATATATATATATATATCTATTTAAAATCAACAAGAGTTTAAAATGTTCAATTTAATCTTTCTTATAAAGGAAATTATGAAGTTATATAATGGAAATAGAGGGAATGTTATAAATTTTAAAGACAATTAAGAAAAAAGCTCCATAACATTATAATTAGAAATTAAAAATAATCTACAAAACATCTTTGACATGAAGATGAATTTTTATTATCACATTATTGTTAATGCTGTATCTCTTCAAATTGCATTTTCCCTAATATATCTATACCATGTGTGCAATAAGCAGTGCTGCAGGATCTGGCATTGTTATTGTTGGCATGTATATTCTTCTGTGGGGTAAAAGAAAAGAAGACGTCGAGAAACATGTGGCCAAGACCGGCCAAGCAAATCAACAAGACCGAGAATGCCAATAGTTGTCATATTCCCTCAAATGTAACAAGGTGTCATAATATTTTTTGAATAATTAGATAATTTTACTTTTGTTTTAAAAAAACAAAGAAGATATGTTAGTTATGTACTTTACCCACTATCACCATGATATTAATTGATATTAGTAAGGGTAAAATTGAAAAATTATTATAAGTTATTTAACCAAATAATATACTTCTATTAATATACATGATTTGGTTAAAAACACTTAATACATGGGAATGAAAGGAGTATACATGTATGATGCTTATAAATATTTTAGATTTTTTGTGTACAACAAAAGGTCAGTACAAATTAAGTTGAGTTAAGAATTAGGACGGAATCAAGTGTATGTCAAGGGGGTTTAATTGTTCAAGGGTAAGGGGAAATTATGTTTTTGGATATAACTCTTATAATATTCGTCTTGACATTACCAATACATGTAACACAATTACATAACACTATTACGATAACAAGGATTAATTAATTTCTTATACAAGGTTATCATAATACAAGAATTTAAAATTAAGTTTAAAAGATTTGGGATCCCAAAAAAACCCTTTTTGAAAAAGATATTTGAGTTCAAACCATAGTTTAAAACAAGTGAAAGGAAGTAATTGAAGCATGAAAACAAATAACAACCCATACATACATCAAAGAGGGCATTTTGGATTCGGTAACTCATGAAAAAAGAATGATGGCTGAAGGTTGTGTAATATCAAATGTGTTAATACATTCGTGACATGAAATTTTATTGAACTCATGCTGATAAATTTTATCATGCAGAAGGACAATTTATTTCAAATATTGACAACGGTTAAACTGGAGCTATTTGAGAATAACCCTAATTGTGAGGTCGTAATTGGGGCAGTTCTTAAATAAGAAACTGCATAAGTTTATAGTTTAAATGTTAAATTGTTATTAATTGGTCTACCATCTTAACCTCACCTTGTTTTCAAATTACATAATACAGACATGAATGCAGCCTTCACATCATAACATGGTCAAAATATTAGTCTAACAAAGAGCATAAGGACTAGCTAACGTACACAATGCCTAAATATACACAAGTACAGCTTTAAGGATGTATGTGCATATTATATTATTAAAGTTATTGCAAGTGAATTTGGAAATTTATTAACCTTATTCATAAATGTTTTGTAGGATGAGTTAGCTTCCTTAAAAGTTAACTTATTTTCGTGGCCTGTGGACCATCCATGTAATGTAAAATTAGTAGAAGCCCATTCACTCATTTCAAGTGTTGAGCCATCCCAAAAGAAAAGGCGATGATCTTATTCAAGATCTTTCATATCATTGTGACTTGTAATTTTTGACAATTGTAATTGCTCTTTTGCAATCAGGTTTAGTTTCAATACATATATACACATTATGAAATGTATTTTAGGTGGAGTACTAAAATTTGCAACTAGTATTATGAAATTAACATGACATTTATGAGTGATTACTATTCATGTATTAACTAACAGTTTGCAAGGGTTTTGGAAAATTAATGAGTGAGACTGGCCGACTAACAAGTAGTGTTTCTCCATCTCCCACGAACATGATCTAAAAGATTAGGCTAAGCTGTGAACATACTTGGTCATTGTCCTTAAAGTGACAACTATCATAATACATTTACAATTGGACTCGCGCAATTAATAATTGGTGATAACATGTAAACACGACTATAATTTAGATGAGATTTGCAAGGGGTATTAGAGAATTAACGAGTAGCACTGGGTGACTAACAAGTGGTGTTCAACGTCTCCCATGAATGAGATATGAAAGATTAGGCCAAGTTGTAAACATACTTGATGATTGTCCTCAAAGTGACAACTGTTATTAATACATTTACAATTGGACTCACACAATTAACAACTAGTGATAACATGTAAACATGGGTACATTTTAGATGAGGTTTGTAAGGGGTATTGGAGAATTAGAGCAAGCGTTTTACAACTAATATTAAGAGAATCACAAACTAGTGTCACTTTATTAACATATACCATATATGAGAATTAGAAAAAAATTTCAGGCTGGTACTTGTGACAATATGCCATAAAGTAGCTTCATGAAATTACATATAGAAGAAATATTTATAGGATGCCAACACATTACA